AAACAAATGGTCACTGTCGCATYACTAATTAACAGCATGACACTCTAAGATACAAAAGATCCTTACTTTATGATTTCTGGGTACTACTGTTAAATCATGACAAGTTGATCACATCATCAAAAARAGCACACCACTCAAAAAAAAAAAAAAATTAAAAAAAACCCAAACACCACGAAGCAATTATCTTAGGCATCCATTAATAATACAAATAGAAATTGAAATGCCAAATTTAAACAAACCATTTACTTCTCTCAATATAGTTTCCTATTCCCCCAAAACATAAAAATGTGTTTTCATTTASGGAAATTCTAACTGCCAAAATACTATCTCAACTGATCTAGTCAGATCATGGAAGCCATTTCATGCTTCAGCAAGTAAATATTTTCTTCCATAAGAACTAATCTTTCCTACTAATTATGAGGGGTTTTTCTCCCCTTAAAAGTCTACAAAAACCTTCTAAATTTTTGCAAATCTTCTGTTTGCTAGTAATGTCGGTTTTGTCCTTTTGCAGTAACCTCCCCCTTCTTGCTTTTCCTGCATCATTGTAATGCATTGTCTTAACTCTGGACCACAAAGCCCAAGMGTGAATTTAGGCCTAGACCTAATTTTTACTCTTGGGTATACTGGTATTTGATAAATAATTCAATAAAAATAAAAAGCATCATTGCATTTATTCCCTTTTTACTTTAATGTTTGAAAATATTTCACGTGTTTCATTCTGAAATGATAGTATCCTAGCTGTTTTCCTCTAGTAAATCAGGAAATAGAAAGTTTTGGAAAAAGAAGCACAAAGTTATGCACCAAAGACTCTCCCARTAAAGTCAGCATCCTTAAAAGTTTTCTAAATATTGTTGACAGGTATATACTTTAGATTCTAGAAAGTAAGTTCATGCATATTTCTCGGATTTAAAAAGCTATCACTGCAAAACCTGACAACTGTTAWCCAGACACAATTATATTTCTTTTAAAACATATGGCCTCTTCTGCAAACTACTCTTTAAACTGTGCCTGGAACAGCATTTACGCAGTTTTCCAAATGAAGTCCAAGTACCACAAACACAGGATTTTAGCTAATCATTTTGTTTTATTGGTCCCATAGCAGATGAGCACTTTCTTCCCATCGTGTTTACGAAGTACTGCTCTGAGGGGACACGAGAATCCGAAAAGGTTTAATCACGGTCAAAAGCTGAGGTAACTCGCCTCTTGCAAGCTCAGAGTGCTGAGTATCCAGAGTGAACAGTGCCGTTGCCATTGTACAATCGGCTATGAAATGTCTGTCCTCTTGCAGACTCCACACAACCTTTCAATATGTTCAACTTGCAAACTAACATGATAATGGTCGTAGCATAATTCAAACCAAAAATTACATGGCTGTGAAGGGGGCCCCCTTCACTACAAAATGGAGGCTCTGAAGAGAACAGCGTTTTGTGCAGGGAGTCTCTATGTTCTCTAATCTTCAACCCACTGCCTTTCCTTCATTCACAAGTAAAATCATTACCAAATATGTGTAACCCTTTAGAAAAGATGAACAAAAGAAAATAACGAGAGACTATCAAGAAGTGTTTCTCTAAGAGATCCTTTAACACCCATGTTTAACTGCAAAGTTTTTTATTTACAACAAAAAACAGAAGCACATGGAAGAATTAAAGTAAAAGCACATAAAAAAACATTCAGCTAGTACAGAGAACACCCCTGTCCATACGAACAGAGTAACATGAAATAGACAAACTGGTAAATTAGTCCCTGAAGAGCTGTGCTCCTGAAACATGACATTTAATGAACTTGCCACATTAAAATGGCTTAAAACAGACAAGAGAAAGCCCAGAATGGAAAGCTCCTGGCCCACTTGGATTGATTTGAGAGGCTGCAACCGGACCCCTYGGTGCACAAAGATTAGTTTGTAGCWTRGAACAAGCATATTTGCCTGGGTCAAAGAACGCAGCACCACTCCCCTCGGAACCGGCAGAAAGGTGGGAACGCGGGTCAAGGCCTCTGCCAGAAAGGTCAGCACCGTGGAACCAGCGACACAGGAACGCTTCAGGGACCGTATTACCCCGAGGGGCGGCTGAAGATAAGCCCGACCCCCGACAAATATGGCCCAGAAGCTGCAAGGAGGCGCTCGGGGCGCCGGGAAAGCTGGGCCCAGCTACGGAGACCCAGTGTCGGGGGAGGGCGGGAGCACCCGGCCGAACCGGACGGGAGGGCGTCCCGGGCCCTCCGCCCGATCACGGTTTCGACCGTAAACCCAGCAACAAGGACGCAGCCCCGACCGACGTCCTCCCGGCCGCCCCCAGCCTCCCCAGGCGGGCGAGGCCTGGGCGCCCCCCGCCTCCCTCCCACAGGCCGCAGCGCCCCATTCCCCCCCGCGGCGAGGCCCCGCACTCACAACTCGCTCTTGCCGCCTTTCTCCCAGTTCTTTATCCACTCGGCCGGGAGCAGCGCCGCCATCTTTCCCGTGTGGCGCCGAGGGCCCGGATGGAGCAGCGGCGGCGCCGGGTCAGAGGGGACGGACGGGCCGCGAGAAACCGCGGGACGCGGCCGCGCCGTGCGGRGAGGCGGCGGGGCGGACTGCGCCTGCGCGCGGGGGCCGCGGGGCGGTGCCACGGCCGCGCGTGTGCGTTACAACCGCGGGGCGGGGCGGGGAGGGGCGGGGCGCGCGCGCGTGCGCCCTCAGGCCTTGGGGCGTTTGGTGTGCTCGGTCTGTGCGCTGTGTCGCACCGCGTGTGTGCGCTGGAACCGCGGCGTGTGCGCTTCGGAACCGCGGCGTGTGCGCCATAGGCGGAGGGCGGGGTGTGGCGCATATCGCGCGTGTGCGTTAGAACCGCGGGGCGCTCGGCGCGCATGTGCATTGCAGTCGCGGGTACCGGTGCACTGCGCGTGTGCGYTGAGCGCCGCCAGCTTCGGGTGAGTGGGGTGGTGCGAGATGTCTGCTTGCGAAAATGGCGAGAACGGTAAATCGTTTTAAAAAGCAACAGGTTAGAAAAGGATTTATGTAAAACTTACTGTGACACATCTAAATGGTCTCTCCGATATAAACACTTAGAACAAACAATTGTATGGATRTCGTCTTCCGAGTTACACCCCTAACGCATGTGCCTATTTTATTACATCGGTTGTCTCCATTAAGTTTCCGCAAGCTGCTCGGTGTTYCCTTCAGTTGCTAATTGAGATCTAAGTGTTAAAATACTCCATTTAGGCAGCACATGTTTCTATYCTTTCCAGACATTCTTCTTACCTAYCAAGTCTTTATTTCACCTGCGTTCCTAGTCTYGTACGTGCTTCGTCCTCCACTGAAGTGTAAATTGTTTCACGAATACGCTAAGACTTGAGAAAATGGRGAATTTGAAATAAAAGGTGAGGCCTTGGTGCCCCTGTGCTTATTGCAGTGCTAGCGCTGGTATTCTCTGCTTCATATTGAGTTCTCGACGTTGAACTGTAACATAGAGCTTTCAAGGCCTTGGTGTAACAGGCCTTTTTCCCCTCACAGAATAGCTCTGATCAGAATGTCAAGTATTTCAACATATATATGTAACTATGTCTGAGAGAGCGAATAGTTTTGTTTCTGTTATTATTCACAGCGAATAGTTTTGTTTCTGTTATTATTCACAGCCAGCCCCTGCAAGCTGTATATTGTGCAGAATGCTGCTCTTCGTAGGCCCTATGTACTACACCCAGTACAAAGGGACCCATTACAGCCCTAAACTCTGCACTAACACAAGTMATACAGGAGGCAAATTCTTTGATTCTCTTACTTACCTTTTAAATTTGATAGAGATCACATTCCAGACAGACCCAGATCACATTCCAGGTATATCATATACAGTGTGATAGAAGATACACTCAGTTTAAAAGTATCTAATGCATTTATGATTGGTTATTATTTTAAAAAATGGAATAAATATATTTAAAACATATTGGATGATGAAAGGCACAGAATTGCAGTTCTGAAGAGTAACATGAGGGGGTATTATATGCAAGAGTAGTAAGTCTGTTTAGAAAATAAGCCTAAGAGACACCTCAACAGAAAACAAGAATCTAGCAAAAGGTATTAGGAGCAAGGATATRTGTAGGAATAGCTATGTAAGGTCTGAACGTGAGCATGTGAGATTTTGCCTTCAYGATGAGAATGAAGAGACACTCATGGAGAAGTGCAGTAGAATAAAGCCATCAAGTCATTGCAGGGCCAAAAGTTTAAATCCCAAGTTTACTCAAGGAATGTAAACCACTTCTTTCTTGAAGTATATTGGTAACAGACTGGGACAGGCTGAAGATAACAGATAGTATATGCAGTGTAGAAATACACATGACATAAAAAGTTTTAAAATCTACTTTGCGATATGTACCAATTCCTCTTCAGATTAATATATTATTGACACAGAGTAGTCTTTTTTCAGGCTATAAAGTCATATTCAGTTCTGACTTATCCTTGCTTTTGTGGTAGACATTTTTATATGGTGAAACATTTTCTCAGTACCACCTGATGTTAGCTGGATTGTAAGGAATTCCTAGGTTAAAAAATAAGATTTGTATTTTAGTTCTACAAAACAATYGTTATAGTTTATTCTTCATCTTTTCATGAGGCTTTTGTGTGCTAGAAAAAGCAGCATGGGCATCCTAAGATTCATATAAATGAGTCAGAGAGCCTTGTTAAAAGCCAGGACAGCTTTATGTTTTCTTCTGCTATTTCTACAGGTTGACATTTACCTTTCTAAATAATGGAATAAAATAAAATTTTGAGAAGAAGGAAAAATGATGATGCCTGCAAAGGCAGGATGTGTCAAGCACAGTCTTAAGTCACCTACTGTGCTTCCTGCCTGAATAAAGAAGTACTCTGAAGGCTTTGTCCCAGCTACATTAAAGGAAATGCCTGTGTCACCACTATGGTAACAGCTGGATAGCAGCGGGAAGTTATGTAACTGAACAGTAAATACAAGGTTTTCAAGYGTGTAGTGCATTATCCAGCAAATACATAGCTAGAAAAATATAACTGGTAATTGGATCTTATAAAAATGTATTTATTCTTGGTTTTCTGAATAAATACTGCAGACATCCATTGGGAGAGCTGGAAATGTACAAAAGGAGAAGAAATAAAACATGCAACAACTCATTTCCTCTGTATTAACCCACTCCATGGAATTCATGTGACATGGCACAACTTTATTATCTGCTCTGAGAGTTAAACAATTGAGTGCTTTACTTTTCTTGCAGAGACMATTAGGAATGACTGTTCAGAATAAAATGTCTCTTATTATTCGGTTTTTATATCATGTCCATGTAAGAATTAATTGTTCTAAATTACCTTTTTTTTTTTTTAATCAGCAATTGTTTGGTGATTGCTCCTGGTGATTGTTCTTTTTCTGTAGACATTTCCTTAATTCTCACACAGAAGAAATAAAGGTACACAGAAGGCATGCTTCCACATTATTCAGATGATTTCTGTTTGATAAATGCTGTTTAGGCAAGTAAGAGTCTTAAATATTAGCTAATACCAGCTGTTTCCATTCATCTGGGCAACTGAAATGAGAAACAYTCTCAGACTGTGATTGTCAAACACATCTTGCAACTTTTGGATTTTTTCGTAGCTAAACTTAGTGTCACTTCATCATCCTAAGCAATAAAATGTAACAGATTTAAGATCAGTGCATGTGGAGGATCACACCATTTTGTAGAGGTTTGCTGGGTTTCAGCTCACAAAAAGCAGCATTGCTTCAGAGTCGTTTGCATTCCTTACCACTTGCCAACACAGACAAGAACCAGCTGTAGGTTTAGGTTGCATTTCCAAACCCTGTTGACCTGGAAGTCTTCTGGTCAAGGCTTAACTTGTTAGTTCTGTGTATGTTCATGCAACCTGCTGGTGAATAATGAAAAGCCGAAAGACTAATTAAACTCTTCTGCATAAAGCCTGTGAAGGAGGGGTTTTCTTAAATATGGTTCTGGGAGCAATGCCTGGAGTAATTTGATTGGAACAGCATTTGGTAGGCAGCAGATCATTTATTTGCTTGACAATATGTTTCACTGCTTCAATGTGTATTTCTTTCCCATCAGTGTTTATAGCTCTGTTCGCTTTTTTCTGACTAGCATTGACAAGGAAAGACGAAAAGACCCCCCAAAATCCCTGTTTCAACAGCAGCTTTGAACAATGGAGAAATCTACAAAAACAGGAAAAAGGAAAATTATTTTTTAACCACAGTGTCACCAAATGGCAAAATGTTAATACAGAAGTGGAGATTGTAAAACATTTATTTATGTGAAGAATGAAGACAAGCTGTTCTAATGGGCCTGTGCTGGAATCATTGCATGGTTCTGAAGAACCATGCCTGCTCTGATTGGTACAATAGAGAACTAGTAAATTAATTAGGAACCATTTTGGTTTTGAGTACATACACCTTTCTTGAAAATGCCGTATCAAAGTCAATTATTATCATAAGATAATAATAGGTAAAGAAAATATGGAAAAGAGCTATGAATTTTGTGTATTTTGCAAGCTGAGCAGTGACAGTATCACTGAGAGTGTAATTTAAGGTCTTGTACTGCTTTTTAAGTCCRCTGATGCAGAAGGGCAGAGTACAACTTGTAAAGCAGATATTCCTGGGCTCACAGCTCATCACTCACTCATTGTTCTAGTAGCTGGATATTCTTCAGGAAGGCTCTGCGTCATTTCATCTCGTGGATTACACATATCCCACAGAAAATGGGATGACACCTCTTGGATTACACATATGCCGCAGAAAATTGGATGACTTACTRTGTTCTGCTGACAAAATCTCTTTGGTCAGTCCAGCCTGTAATGAGCCTGTGGTCATGCACATGATGAGTTTGTTGTATCAGCTCCCTGGCAGCATCTGTCCAGCACTGGGAGAGCCAGGCAGCCCATGCTGGTGTGCCAGCAGCTCTGCAGCCTGTGCTTAGCACTTTGTGCTCTTGCCTCTCCTCTGGCCTGTGTGCWGAGAAGCTCCAGGTGGCTGGAGTCTCTGGGAAGGCTTGGCTGGGTGCTGGTGATGGAGGAAGTGTAGGAAGCCAAARTTTGCAGTCTCCCCTTATCAGTGGGTGGGCAGTACCTGGCAGCTTGCCAGGGCTGTTCGTGTGGCAGGCAGTCACTTATCCCACGGCATAGGTGCCTTGTGCTGGTTTATTGTGAGGGGTTAAGAGTGTTGGTGCATTGAGAGAATATGAAGCTTTGAAGGCAAAACCTGAATTTGGTAAGTCAGAATCTTATCAACATGGTCCACACCCTAGTTTGGGTTGGGTACCCCAGATACCAAGTATGTTAAAACGAATGTGTCTGTGACTCATGATAATCATGTCAGAGAAATCCTGACTCCTACCTGAATTTGGGGTTTGCAGACTATTAGGAGTCAAAGAAGCTGTTTCTGGAACTCTCAGTCCTGATTCCTCATTCTTGATCCCAGACTGGAAAGCAGTCTTGGGCACCTTGTCCATTGCTCCCTGTTCTGCTGCTGCATCTCTTTCTGAAGGTTTAAGTTMGTTCAAAGTCAGAAAATACTTGATTAAATACAATACTGCTTGTGACGTCTAAAGAATATAATTTCTAATTTCTAAGCTTCTGCAGCAATATAAAGTATTTAGTAAGTTTACTCAGCTAAGGTTTGGATGGTCATGTTGAGTTGCCCCCACGTATAATAATTCTTAGACATCATCAACAGGATGTGGGGAAAATTAATGACCACAATGATCAGTTAAAAGGGATATGTTTGTTAACCACAGCATTCCTCTTTGCTCCTCTCTGCCCTTTTTTTCCTGTCAGGGTATAAATGCGGAAGCATGCAGGGGATAGGCAAGCATTGCCTTGAACTTGCCATTTTTCTACTTGTTACATCAAACTTAGATAGTACCTGTGWGCCAGCATTAATATGCCAGCATGAAAGAATTAGGAACACAAAACTAAAACCATGTATGTAGTTGTATTTCACACACTTGCTAAGTCCAAAGTCCTGGCGCTGRATAATTATTTCTTGCATTAATCAGTTCAAACAGAACTAAGATAAATCACTAGTTGCATGTTTACCATTTTCCTCTTAGTTTGGCATTTATCTTAGCTCATCTGCTCAGTGAATTGTGAAAGAAACATKGTTTGCCTCTGATTTGACACCAGAAGTGAACTTAGAAGTAACTTCAGCAGCAGTATACTAAGACGTCAAAAGAAGATTCGGTTTTTACATGTTTAGATGCTAACTTTTACCCAGTTCAGTACTCTTGCCATTATATTACGGTTTTAGTTTTGATGAGAAGGTATATTTTTGCATTGTCTGATCAGCAATGGATTTGAGAGCTATAGGAATGTTTGTCCTGCATAAGATTTCACTGCTGAAATTGAAAAGGCTCATCTTGTTTTTACAGCTTTTCCTGTTTCTGTACTACAATTATACCTCTATTTTTCTCAAACTTCCCTTCAGACTCTCCCACTCCCTTCATGAAAATGCAATGAGAGTTATGTTTATCACCTTCTTGCAACAAAAGAAAAGAAAGAATGTGCTGTAGTAGTAAGTGCTGTGGATAAAGGCTATCCTACTGTTTTAGAAGAGAGAATTGGAATTTATTTTCTGTGGACCAGCATACAAATGCATGGCTTTCCTATCAAATGACTTAATCCCTTCTTCCAATGGTAGCAAAAGCACTGGATGTAATTCAAGGGTAAAAACAGATTTCAGACATCTGTTACTTATTAGTTATTTGATTTTCTATTGTCATATTCWTGAGAAAATGTTCCTAGTCAGGGCACCATTTTATCATTTTTCCGTATTTGATTTTCTTCCTTTGTTGTACCTCTGAAATCCCAGCTCTGGATTGCATAGTTTTTTTCACTCCATTCATTAATCTGGTGCTAATGGTCCAATTGATTAGTCTAGGAGATAGAAAATAAATCATATTAATTTCTTAGGGATTATGTCAACAAACACAATTTCCCATATGAACCTCTGTGACTTATGACCCATTGTTGACTAAACAGTTTGTGTCAAAGAACTGTGTACTAAGTCCAGTTTATGTTTATCTGACTCAAACAGGTTGTAACTGATTGAAATTTTTAATACGATTGTGTAAAGAAGTTTCAAAGAGGTTTTACTTTTGGTATGATCTGATTTTTTCTGTTTTATTTTATGTCTTATATTTTTTGATGGAAGGGTTTTTGGGAGGTGATCTAATCCAACCTCCTGCAGGGGCCAGAGATTTTCTTTTACCAAAGTTTTTGATTTAGACATCAAAACCTGAAAGTGGATCTCCACAAAACCACTTTGTGACCTCTAAAAACAATCTGCTTCATTTGGAAAAATATCAAACCTCAACAGAGCAAGGGCCTTCGTGAAAATCATTGTTAATGAATGTATTAATAATGTGGTATGACAAGGACTTAAAAGATTAAATATTCATGTTCATATTGCAGTGTTAAGGTTCAAACCTCTTGTGCCAAAGATTCAAACTGGGGTCTTAGAACAAAGTGAGAAKCAATCCTTAYGCAAATAGCTTTCAGTGTAAGCCTTGAATCTGCAAATATTCTGATACATTGTATAATTACACTGCTTCTCCTGAAATTGTCCAAATCGACAAGTCTTTGGAGATATATGATCTGAAAATAGCGAGTTGCTACTGTTCACATGCACAAGGGGAAAAGCAAAAATGCTTGAGAACATTATTCTATGTAGCTGAGTTTTCCTGAGGATAGCAATAACCAGGTCCCCTACATAAAACCTGGCTACAGGTCCCCTACATAAAACCTGGCCAAGTATCCTGGCTACATTGAAATGTGTTGGGTGAACAATGAGGACACCTGAGTTTCTAAAAAAGATAAAAAGTTTAAAGAAGTATTTTAATGTTCAAGGCCATCTTAGACTTAGCCATGAAAATAATCAGATTATTTTTGACTACAACTACCAAGGAAAATAGCCCGAAGTTTCTTACTGATTTGGAAAATTCTATTAAAAAAAAAATCTGGTTTAACAGATTTAAGTCGTAAGAAGATGTAATTCTCTGGGGTAAGAGGTGAGAGCAAGGAGAGCGTTGGGACGAGCATTTTCTAGACCTGAAACCTGAAGATGGTGTGACATGAAGGGGCTGCTGGAGATGCTGGGGAGGAGAGGCAAACGGTGGGGTGAGGCACTGGGCGGGCGGAAAAACGGAAAGAGCTGAGGAGACTGAGGGGGTTGTGGTGGCTGAGCGGGATGAGGGGGACGAAAAGCGGGGCTGTGGGGACCGAAGAGGCTGAGGGGAACGAGGAGCGGGGCCGAGGGAATGAGGGGAACGAGGAGCGGGGCCGAGGGAATGAGGGGAACGAGGAGCGGGGCTGAGGGGAATGAGGGGAAGGAGGAGCGGGGCCGAGGGGAATGAGGGGAACGAGGAGCGGGGCCGAGGGGATGAGAGGAATGAGGAGCGGGGCTGAGGGGCCGAGGAGCTGAGGGGAATGAGGAGCGGGGCTGAGGGGCCGAGGAGCTGAGGGGAATGAGGAGCGGGGCCGAAGGGCTGAGGGGCGTGAGGAGCGGGGCTGAGGGGCCGAGGGGAATGAGGAGCGGGGCTGAGGGGCCGAGGGGAATGAGGAGCGGGGCCGAAGGGCTGAGGGGCGTGAGGAGCGGGGCTGAGGGGCTGACGGGCAGCTCTGCAGTTCCCGCCCGCCGCCGCCACGCGCCGCCCTCCGCCGGCGGAAGCCCGCCCGCCGCACCGCCACCGCCCCGCCAGGGGGCGCTGCTCCCCTCCGGCCGGCGCTGAGGCTGCCGGGAGCCGCCATCTTCTCGGGGCGCCCTGCCGAGAGCGGCTCCCGCGCCGGGGACGGGACAGGACAGGACGGAACGGGACGCTCCCGGTGAGTGCCCGCGGCAGCGACAGGACCGGGGCGGYGGCGGGACCCCGGGGCGGGCCGGGCTCCCCGGCTGCCCGCGCTGGCTGCTTTCGGTGCGCCGGGCGGCTCGGTGGGGCTCCCCGCGTGGAGCGCGGGACTGTGTCCGTTCCGCGCTGTCCCCACCCTCACGGCGGTGCCGGGGTGCCGAGGGCCGGTGCGGCCGCCGCTGCCCCGGGCGCTCATTGATCCGGCGGGGTGGTCCCGGCTGGCGAGGCGTTGCCATGGGGACGGGCGCGCCGCCGCTGCGGGAGCGGCCGGGCCGGGATGGGATTGCCCCCGCGGAGCCCAGACCCCGTCCCGAGCCGTGCCCCTGCTCCAGGGTCCGCATGCTCCGGCTGGAGCCTTCAATGCTGCTCCAGGGTCCGCATGCTCCGGCTGGAGCCTTCAATGCTGCCCTTTACAAAAGCGGGTGAAAAATTTGCTCTGCTAATAAGAGCTTCTGTGGTCTGTCTGGGTCTTTTGACATATTTGAGTGTTTCCTCTCCTCGCCCACTCTTCTATTACTTTTCTTTTATTAGGTCCATTACTTTCTAGACGTGCTTCTTGTTAATAAAAATGCAGTTTTGTTYGGGTTTTCTTTGTTAAGATTAAAGTACTTATTAGGAATTCTATAGGGAGAAGTTCACTCAGGTGACTTTTTTTCAGCGGTAATTTAAGTTCAAGTAATTCTCTTTCGTTCAATGTCTATGGTCCTGTGCTTACATATTTCTCTTTAACAGTAAGTGTTACTCTTAAAGAGACATATATTTCTGCTTCTGTAGTACTTGTCTTATGCTTCTGTCTTCYTGCTGAAAGCCCTATATGTGGGTGTCAGTACTCACTTTGGTTTGGGTAATTTTTGCAGTGTTTTTWACCTGCATCTGCTGTAAAGGGCTGACATGTTTGCAGCAGTATTCCATTATCCTTTCACTGCTACAGTCTTACATTGCTATTTTAATAGCTTTACTTCATTCAGCTAACTGGAAGAATTTAGTTTTCCAAATGAACATATGGAATCTATAAGATCCTACAGTAGACCAATTTCAAAGGAAAAGCAACTGCATGAAAAACTGCTATTTTACCATTTTGTCAAATACTTTTTTGAATATAATATAAATAAATTTAATTGCTCATTGTTTATCCTGAAGTAAATCACCACTTATYGGAGAAGRTAACAGTGAARTATTCTCTCTAAGAAAGCAAGTTTTTGTGTAATGGATTGGTTGCTTAAGTTTTTATTTAGATATTTGCATTTACTTAATTGCTTTATTTTGCTATCTACTTGATCACTTTTGCCGTTTTCTTTGAGGTTCTCTAAGAATTTCCAACAACTTCCTTCCATGAAAAGCTTGGCACTTACATCACTGGCCAAGAAGGGCAAAGGAACAAGTTAATGATTGTTCTGCACCTCCCTTGATCCTGCCCTTTGCAACCAGCAGCAAAAGTGAAAGAATGCTGATGAGGATGGTTGGTTGTGAGTTTTTTTGACTGCTCCCACTGATATGAGACAGACTTCCATTTGTTATCATGAAACTAAGGAAATGTGTGTTCATATCTCAGTTTTAGAAATATGAAAATGGATTTCCTTTCAGGCTGTGTGTACCTGTGTTAGGACTTCTGTCTGTTGACAGAAGATATTTGAGATAGCTGCAGGGAGCTGAAGAGTTCAAGAAAATCCAATTTATAATCAGATAAGAGAGAGAAGTCTAGATCACAGGATTCAATTCTTTTTGCTGTTTCATTCTTTGTCCTTTTTGGTGCCCTCTAGTTTTTAATTCCAGGATTTTGTTTTGTTGTCTTAGGATCTTCTGGAGTAAACCAAATTTTATGTCCCTTGCTGGTTTTAGTAAAACATCTACATTTCAGACTTTCCCAGACCTCAGACTCTTTCAACTTTATAATGTATTTTAATTTGGATTTCTTGGYCAAGGGAGAGAATTTTAAAATGGTTTTTTTTTCGTCGTAGTTTTGTAGTTGTGCCTTCATAAACAATGTTGAGGTTATGTGAAAAAGAAGGTTTTTAACCTCTCTTTTTTTTCTACCAACAGGAATGTAAATATTGGGATTTGTTTTAAAGGTTGATGGAAAATAGTGATGAAAGCAATATCTGCTTTGATTAATCCATTCCTATACTTGGTCTGATTGGATACTAATTCCTTCGGGAAAATCGACTGTAAGTACTTTTTATGTTTTATTTAACAGTGTACAGTCCTTTGCTGCTTTTTATTTTTCATAGCATGTGGTCTTTTTTGCAGAGTTCTAATCCAAAATACTCTGAGCATGACAATTTACAAGTCGGGCTTTATAAACAGCAAGATTTTTGAACATAAAAAAGGTAGCTGTGTGTGAAGATTGAATGGCTTAAAGATTAAGAAGGCATRATGCAAAGCTTGAATTGAGTGTCACTCCTATCATATAAAATGTAAAATGAAGCTGTATATATCTTGCAGGTCATTGTGCTTCCCTTTCAATGTTTTGGGGAGTTTTTTGTTAAATAGAAAGGCAAGCAGAGTATTTTCTACAAGCAAAACTTTCACATATTTCATTTTTAGTACTATATTATAAATAGAATTAATTCCCAAGTCATCCCCATTTCCTGACAAAAATAAAATACAAAGAATAATTCAAGAGAGATTTCTAAGTTTTTAAGATGATGCAGACCATTTTCAAGAAGATGGTATATAAATACACACACAAACACACACACACRTATATATATATTAAAGTATATATATGTACATTTGCAAATTGTCCTAATTTTTTAATAGCAAAACATTCATGCTATGACATCAGAAAGTATCAGGATGCTGTTCTGCCTCAGGCTGCAGCTGAGTGACTGAGTGAGGAGTTCAACTACTGCTGTAGTGGCTGCTGTGAGCAGGAGCACTGACTGGGCAGGGAATGCCCTTGCCACTGAGTAAGGCAGGAGGTGCTGGTCTGGCACTTTTCCAATTTTGCCTTAGAATCCAAAGATTCAGCAGTTTTGCTGTGGCATTAATCACGTTGCTGTAGCTGAAGTTTGGTATCATTATACCTCCCCGATGAAAAACRCCCTCTTTTTCCATGCTTTTCTTCRACTAGAAGTTTAAATTATTTGTGAAAAGATGGAACACTGAAACCTGAAGCACGGCTCATACTCGGGAAAGGAAATGCATCTCAGGGCACTGCACGTTTTATTGGTTATTTTTTGCTACTGGCCATTCTTTTTAATAACCCCTGTTGAGTCAGTGATTTTTTCTGTTTCTTAACTGCAGGCRCAGTTACTTAGTCTACATCATGCCAGTTTTCCCTACAGCAGCTGGTATTTACTCCTTCCTTCTAATACATGTAGCCAAAGTTCTGATAACATTTAACTTGCAAGCACACAAAAAGATTATGTTTCCTCTGTCTTAAGCAGCCATGAATCTTTGTTTATTTCTCTGGTTCGTACCCATATGATTTCTTCRTGAAGAAAAATACTATGTAAAAATAATCCTCAAAATGGTATGTTTCTGTTGGCCTGGTTATGCACATTTTGATGATGGCAARAGCATAAAAGTCCTTGTGACTGAARTAAAAAATTAGGAGGATGTAATAGYCTGCTATAACCTTGAGCTGCTGCCTGACTTCCTTTGATGACAAACCCTGATGGGAAGCTAAGTAAGACCTGTTGGAAGAACAGACAAGTGAAGCTGAGCTGATGGGCTTATGTAAGCTTTGGCACTGAATTAGGGGGCATTCCATAGATACATACTCTCTTTCTAAAATAAATTAAAAAGTATCTCTAAACAGAACTTTATTTTAAAAATGGCTGTTGATAATTAGATAGAAATGTGCTAAAATTTGTAAACACTGTTTATATAAATCAGGTTTCTGGTCATTTTAATCTTCTAAGTATGTTTTCAGTCAGCAGCATGCACCTTCCTTGATCTCATTGCAGCTGAGCAGGCAGAAACTGAAGTTCATTGAAGTGACATATTCATAATCTGTGTGTCAGCTGGTACAGTATGTTCTCTTTGATATTTACTTGGTGCACTACTCACATTTCAAAATTCAGTCGACAATAAACACTAACATGTACCCTTTGGTCAGGAACATGAGGCTGTGCAAGTAGATTTCTGACTTGGAGGTTACTGCCGTGAAAGTATTAAAGATAACTCCTTATAATGCCAATCTAGTTTAGGGTTAAAGATGGAAATAATCTTATCTAGTGAAATATACTTGAAAGGGAGAAGGGAGTTTTGTATTTTTTCTCTGAAGCTTTTCAGATCTAGGTAATATGATAATTTTATATTTTTGCATAAAATAAACCTGTTAATATTTTTAAAGCTGAATTAAGCATGTTTGTTTTACAGAACCGCTGTGTACGATTTTGCATTTTGAAGAAGTTACAATTTTACTATGTATTTTTGTCTTTATTTTTTCTTCTGAAACATAATCAGTAGGCTATATAAATTGGTAATTCATCTTAAAAGTGGGTGGTGCCTTGTGACAAATAGCCTTCAGATGTTTAAAAGCAGGATTAAACTTGGCTCAGCTTCCGGAAGCCTTTGAGGCTAAAATAGACTTTGTTTACTCACTGTATAAGAAAATGTATAATGCTTCAATAATAGTTAAAATATCTGGATTTTATATRAGTTCTTTAACATTTYTGGRCCTTCTACCTTTAATTCACACATGTTTAATTTAAAGCTATGCAAAATGACTTAATTAACTTCTGTGTACATAAAGTATGCTCTGAGCTCAGATTTGCTGCTGGTATATATGGTAAAATCTTGTATGCTTGTCTTAGATGGTAGATTTTTGTGAATTTAGTTTCTTAGCCATAAACCATTCAAAAATTTACTCTCACTCATTTTTCTGCTGCAGTTAATATCTGTCTGACTGTTCTTGTGATGCAAGACAGTGTTCTAARTCATTATTCCAGCTAACTGGAGTACGGCAACTGTGAAAAAGCTGTGCTGAAATACTTCTCCTAAGCTGGCTGTAATTTTAGACTTTGGATAGTTGCTTTTAACAGTTGTTTGAAATAGAAATAATTGATCATGATACTGTATTCAAAGTAGTACTAATGTTGTATGTAAAACAGTATTTACACAGGCAAGGAGTTTGCCTCAATGCTTGGTAGAGATATATCTGAGATAAAATTATAGTGAAAGGTAAACCAGCCATGTTTACAGGGGCYGTTGTAAGGAAAGGGCTTCGTAATGTGGCTGGAGCATCATGAAACCTTGCAGCTATCTCTGAGGGATTGGTCCTGCTGCTGTCATTGCAGTTGTTAGACGTGGCTTTGAGAGGCTTTTAGGATAATAGTTGAACCTTTCTGCACCAAGAGATCATGATTAASTTATGTGGTTGATATAATTTGAAAAAGCTAGTTCATATTAAAGAATTGATCTGTTGTGATTGTACCTTCTGTGTCGGTACTTATTGCTCTCTTGGTACATGCTTTTCATACTGTTTTGATTGTGAGGATTGAGATGGATTGCTTAACCTCAGAGAATCCAAATGTGGCAAATACTTCCATTATCTTCGTGCTGAGGGCATAATTTCTTTTTTATTCTCCAACAGAAGGAGTTTTGAAGTATTCATAGCACTGTAGAAAAAACTAATGTATGTAAAACAAAAATTTGAAATTAAAAAAATCTAAATAGAAAGATCTCACTGTTTCTGAACTCATTTCTATATAATGAAGTGGAAATGGAGATATACTGCTATTCGTACAGGAGATGTCATCCACATTTGTTTTGGTTTTTATCAATGGACAATTTGAGAAGGAATCTCTGAAAGATGTGAGCTAGAAGTGATACCAAGTCTTTCATGAATGCAATGTAGTAGTGATGATAGATGCATGTCACTTGAGATCTTTACAGGAAGAGTTCTAGAGACTTGAAAATAAAGTTTTAAAAGGAAAGAAACATGTACTTTTAAGCTTTCATTATAAAAAAACCAATAGTTTTAATATATGTATGTGTATAAAAAATACRTGGTTTGTGACAACTTTTGTATTACTAAATGTAATTATTATTTGGGGCTTTTTGCCCTTCAAAGTCAAGCATATAGGTCAGATTTGTAGGTCAATCAATGCAATTCATTCGGATGCTATTTTTGAATTTGCTAAGCTAAAACAGAAAGCCACAGTATAATTTCTAGTGTTATTACATTAGTCATGAACTGACAGACAGTAGGAATTCAAGCTGGTGCTCATAAGTCATGGTTATGTGAAGCACCCATGCCAGGTGTCCAACGTCACATTTTCTCCACCTGCTTATAGCTTAATTGTCTTTGTCATTTTGGTAGAGGATGCAGCAATCCTGCAATGCATAGGCATTTTAATTTCCCCCTCCCTGTTCTGAACCCCAAAAAAGGTTTTGTAGAAGCTAAATCTGGTGTTATAGAAGCACTTAATGCAACATTTACATTGATGTTGCAGAATGTATGATCAATATTAATGCAGGTGTTGAGGAAGCTATGKTTTTGTGTCCTGGCCTACCTCACATAGTTGAGGACTGGTAATAGATATATTTCAGGATTTCTGTAGAAAATGAAGATACTTGTTCAAATACATGCATGCTCTGTTCTTCCTTCCTTATATGCCTTTCTTTTTGCCAATTTCTGAATTATTACTGCTTTGTGCTAACAAGTTTATTTGAGTCATCCCATGATAATTTAATTTACARCTTGGAGATGTGTGTCAGCAATAGCCAAGACTTTAAAGTCAATAATATCGCTGCATTTTTCTGGACAAGAGAATAATTTTTACTGTGCTTTGGCATCATCCATATTGGGCTGAAGGTGATGACTGTCAGCTTGTRGTTCTTACATAGGACCTGCTGTAGCCATGTTGCCTGGTTTCATCCTCTGCAAAGGTGGGGCTTGCTTGAGTGCTTTKAGTAGCCTTCTGGCACAGAAGGGATGTGAGGCAGGACTGGGAACWGGTACTTACCCTAGAAAAGTGTAGGCAGGAACAGGAATGTGTGACAGGTGCTAAGAAGAATGACATTCATTCAGGGAGGGAAGGGAGGAAAAGCTGAGGTGATGGCATGTTGATTTCATTCTTGCAATCATAAAAGATGCTTTTAAAGCTATAAACCTGTGCATTCTCCAGGTAAATCTTTATAAGCCTCTAAGACATCTTGATCTTCCTGATTTTCCTTACAGATTTTCTATTATTTTTGTTTTAATTCCTTTGTGTTTGTGTGGCAGGTAATGCAGGCAAGGGTGAAACAGGAGGGAAGAGAAAGCRTTGTTATTTTAATGCAGAAAATATRATACTTGAATTTTGCCAGTTTCCAGGGTTATATATGGATATGATGTATCCTTCTGTCTGGGAAATTAAAACATACATTCTTTGTTTAGGAAATCTAGAGGAGAGCCCTGCTTTTGAAGACATGACGTGTAATGTCCCACATAACTCAGAAGCTTGTGCCTCTGCAGACACTGATGGTGCCCAGGAATGGGCCCAGGAACATGGCCGACTGGGAACTTTTGTTGGATTTCCACAGGACTGTCCGGTATCSGTGTTAGCTTTAGCACAAGCTGGCTTTGTGTATACTGGAGAAGGTGACAAAGTGAAGTGCTTCAGTTGCCATACAGCTATTGAAGGATGGGTGCCTGGGGATTCTGCAGTTGAGAGACACAGACAGCTTGCCCCCGACTGCAAGTTCATTACTGAATCTGCTTTTCTGGAAAATGATACGGATCCTGTTGCCCAGAAGTACCAGAACACAACTGAAAASAGTTCCAGCAATTCAGCCCTCTCATATGCTCTGAATGACCCTGATGTGGAGGCAGAYTACCTTTTGAGAACTAGGCAGGTTGTGGATATGTCAGATACTTTGTATCCTAAAATCCCTGCTATGTGCAGTGAAGAAACAAGGTTAAAGTCTTTTTACAACTGGCCCCTCAATGGTCATTTGACACCACAGGAATTAGCTAATGCTGGATTTTATTATACAGGGGTTGGTGACCAAGTGGCATGTTTTTGTTGTGGTGGAAAAYTGAAAGACTGGGAACCCAGTGACAGAGCTTGGTCAGAACACAAGAGGCATTTTCCCAAATGCCTTTTTGTCCTGGGCCGGGATGTTGGAAATATTTCAAGTGAATCTATTCCGGCTGAGCTTGGCTTAACTGGTCAGAATAATGTACAGCACCCAAGGAATCCCTGTATGGCAAAATACGGAAAACGTTTACAAACATTCTTGTCTTGGATATATCCTGTTGACAAGGAGCGACTCGCAGAAGCTGGATTCTATAGCATAGGTAAGCCAGACCTTGGAGTGGTTAATATCTTTTACAAAGATATTGTATTTGAGAAAGTGTCTTGTTATGAAAAAAAGAAAAGCAATTTTTAAAAATATTATATGAAACAATTGGCCWGAATCTCTTTGCTCAGTAAACTACTTTTCACAGTTCTTATGTAAAATTGCATACATTTTATCAAGTATATTTAATAACAATGCATAAACTTGATCATAAATTCATTCTTAGCAATAAAACAGCCAAGCATCTTCTTGCCTGTTAAAACCTTTATAGTACATCTTTCACAATGATAGTTATTTGAGTTAATACAAGTGCTGTACTTGTGACTTTAGGTGTAAGGAGTGGCCCTTTGGCCTGCACAAAATCCTCTGAATACAACAATCCAGGTTGTGTGCCATTTGACTTGGTTAACACATGTTTGCATTACCATGGCACATTGACACCCAAAACCCACAAATACCACTACTGCCTATCCTATGAAGATAGTGGTGCCAGTGGAAAAGCCTTTACTCTTAGACATGTAGTGTTTGATTTAGATAAGACACCAGCTCTGTGTCTCTCTGTTTCTCAATTAGATAGAATTGCACAGTGCCATTAAACACCTTTGAAATTCTTCACTGAGAGATACTGTATGAGTGCAAAGTGTTGCTCTTACTCAGTCACAAGGAAAAGGTGATTATAGGGGATAATTTCTTGCTCTCATCTTAATTGATTTCTCTCTTAGTAGCTCTCAGAACTTCTTAATCTGATTGTTTATTTTACTTGTGGCCATAAATAAAATCTTTGCTATATTCCTGGATGGGTTATAAATAGGCAATATTTGTACCCAGTAGAATTCTTTTTATTGGTTTCTTCTTGAATTTGGGAAAGTACCCAGAGATCTGTATTGTGSAGCTGCACTAACTGGGCACCAGCTTATCAGACCGATGGCTTTTCAGGTGACTTCTGGGAAAACTGTTCCCTGCAGCCTGAGAAGAATTTAGTTATCTAAGCAAATGCTATCCATACCTCCTCTCATTCCAATAAAAACAATATTTAAGCACTTTCTGGCCTTTTTTAAAAAAAAAAACTTACTTTCTTAATATTATAACATTTTAGTTGCAAATTTGATATTATGCTTGCAAAAAGTATGTAACTTCATTCTTTTATGTTTCCTCAGGTAATGGTGATCACGTTGTGTGTTTCCACTGTGGTGGAGGGTTGCAAGAATGGAAGGAAAATGAGGACCCTTGGGATCAACATGCCAAATGGTTTCCTGGGTAAGGTGTCTTTTAGTATTTTCTTGGTGCATGTCCAAGTCTTGTTTACATTACATTGCATTTAATGACAGCACATACTAATAAAGGTTTGAGAAGGTTGATTATGGCTTAACATTGTTTAGATTTATGAAAATAATTTTATATTGGCTTTTTTGTAGGCATTGTTAAGGGGAAGAAACCTGTGTCTGGATCTAAGAGGTGTCTCAGCAAGAATTGTGTGGTTTTGTCAATATGTATCTGAGTGTTTTTTCTTGTTATCCAAGTGTTACATTGTAATGGTTGTTTTAAATAGCATCATAGAGGTAAAAGTTTGTAACTTATTCAGGATACAAAATGACTAACCAGCTGTCATTTGCCAACAAACTGAAGAAGTAGTGGCATGGAATACAAAACATAGTTCACTCTAATTTTAAAAGATTATGGATTCCAGACAGTAGTAGTGGTACCAGAAGTAGTTTTGAGAAAGACTGCCAATGTTGTCTGTTTGGCGGAAGCGAAGAGTAGTATGACTCAGTGGCTCTCACAGGTGGACAGAAGCCATCCAAATACAAAGACTTAGTTACTTGTATAACATGGATAAAATCAGTGTCTTTTATGCATTGACTGCCAAATTTCTCTTCTGTGGTGAAAGGCTCTYTGAAGTTGGAGATTAGTATTTATGCTTTAACTGTTCCCTTTTTAAATGGTACTACAGGCAGTTTTTAATTATTAGCCGCTGCCACTTGAAAGAGATGCAATTCCAAGTTTTTAGCTTGGTGCGACCAACAGTTAAAGAATGTTTTCTTGCTACATTTCACTCCTTTCGATATGGGTTTGGTTTTGGTTTAGGTTGCCTAAATTATGTCRGGTTTGATTATTTCCTCTTAGATAATAATCCCCAGTCTTACTTGGGGATTTTGTTTGCACATCAGCCTCAGTGGCAGTGTGTCAGTCTCACAGCTACTGTCTGTGTTCCTGAAGGTGAAGTAACTGCTGGAGCTGGAGAACTCTCTTCAAGGAGWTATGACATTCCCWAAATCTTCTGGTAGGGAAGAGCTCTGCCTGCAAAAGAGTGAAAGAAAGCATGGAAGGCACCTGTCTGACCAGTGACTGCTTTTCTTTGATTGAGAAAGGCTAAAAGAACCAGCATTTTAACATTACATTTTTCATTTAAGTGAGTCTTTASTTTTAGAAATCTGTGTCATGAGCTGTCATGGCCAGCAACTCTTAAGCTTTCTGTTTGACCAAAAATCTGAGAAAGATAAGTACTGCTTACTTAATTAAGATGTTCTTAGAAATATTACATTGGCACCACAGATGTTGACTAAACATTGAGAGTCAGGCATTCTGTATTATAYAGGAAATTTATCAAAGCTTCCATAGTTATGTAATATATTTTTGCTGCTAATGCAGTTCTATTAAGTCTAAATATTTTATTTTTAGGTGCAGATTTGTGAGCAAGGAAAAGGGGATAGAATTTATAAATAATGTTCACTTAAGAGATGGATGTAGGAATTCAACAGTAAGTTTCTTGCTTATTAATAATTCTGTTAAAATAGAAGAAAGCAACGTAATTTTTATATGACATTACCTTTTAATTATGTGTCTATCATTAATTCACCTACTGCTTTGTTCATTGGCAGAAAATGTAAGAATCACAGTATSTTTTGGTTCTGTCAATCATAGTGTACAGATCTCCCAGTTCATCATAGCTGGGTTATAGATCACAGCCAGGGTACCTTGTGAACGTTGTATATTGGATACTGAAAAAGTGCCATTTGTYCTATAGCCTGGGAATGTAAGGTTTRTTATGAATAATAGCAGATACATTTCCTTTTCTTGTTGGTAGAGCATTGTTATATTTGTGAGTCACTAAAATGCAAAACTGATGATATTTTAGAATTCTTCCATAGACTAAGTATCATGTACATATGATTATTGCAGAGATGGGTTAAAATTATAAAAAAATACTGATCATTTTGTTCAGAGCAGATTAAATACTTTTAGTGACTAAAATAACTTGAGATCAATTAGCTGTTTTCTGTTTTGTAACKGTATACATTTCCTTTTTCTTTCTCTGGAATTGTAATTTTATCTCTYTATATTTCACTTTTAGACAGAAGCTGCTGAAGGGACGATACTTCCTAAAGGTATCTGTTTAAAACAAACAACCTCCCTCTATTTTGGAATATACATAATTGAATGTATAGTGAATGAACTGGTTAATTTTAAAAATAATCCTATTACATTTTTAAATAAAGCRTGACAGACAGATTCTTGGACGATACTCTTCCATTGCTTCATTGCTTCTAAAGAACTGCAGAACGTATTTTATTTTTCTTAAGGGAAATATCATTAGTTTGGTAAATATTGTAAAGGTTGTGAACYATGGAAGAAGTTTGTATGGGACGCTGTCTCATAGCTAGTGAGTGTCCACAAGTATTGAATTAGTAATGCTGTGGGATGAATGTTAAAGTACTGCAGCTGAAACAGTCCTTTTTCATGGGGCAGGAAGAGTTGGTCTGTCCAAAGGCAAAGACTAGGAAGCTGAGAAAGCTGAAGTAGTTTGTTATGTGTTCCACTATTACACATTCCTACAATGCTTTTCACAAATACCAAGCAATAAAAAGACAAGACAGTTAAAGAAGTAGTAGGGAATGGGAGCTGTTGCTAGCAAGAATGGTTACACAAAACCTGCTTAGAAATCCCTCCCATACTGCTCATTTATGAGACYGGAAATAAACTTYTTTTTTTWAAAAAAAAGAAGCCTTAAGAGGAAGATCCAACAAACTGAAAAATGGTTTCCCCAAGTAGTGTTGTTTCTTACCATGRATAGACTTGCTTGCTTGTTGGTGGTGCTGTGTTTTGGTTTTATAAATTCAAATGATTTATTCATTTCTCATAGCATATGTATGATTTTTTCTTTTTTTTGTTGAACTGAATTAAAATTGAGGTAATGTTACTTATCCATTGTGACTTTGAATTCTGGAGGAATTTCAGTTAACGTTCAGTTACTGAATGATGTTAGTTATATGAGACCTTATTTAATTTGAAGTAGTTGATTTGAACAGGAAATGTAGGAGGATTTATATGGCATAAATAGATAAAGGGAGACTGGGCAAGACAGGATAGAGGAAAACTCAAGTCTGCAGTCTTTACAACTAGCAAAATTCTCAGATTGGAAATACGGTTCCTTTGSCTACATATTTGTTTGCAAATATGTGTCTTAGAGTACTGTAGTGAATACTGTCTGATAATCAGATTCATCCTTCTTAAAGTGGTTTTGTTTTGTTTTTAATTTTTTGTTTTAGATGATCTCTTACAGAATCCTTTGGTACAAAGTGCCATAACCATGGGTTTCAGTTTGTCTGAGATTAGGAACACCATGGAAAAGAGATTGCAGATGACTGGAGAAAGTCACACATCTGTTGAGGATCTGGTAGCAGACTTAAGTGCTCATAAAGAAAATACAAGGGAAGAAGAACCAAATGAAATCCCAGTTGAGCAAGATGAGCTTATTCAATTACAAAACCTCTGTGTGTACTTTCATATCAGTTCTTTAGTCTATGAAATATTTTTTATTGTTATCTGTTTATTCTACCCTCTAATCCCAGTCTTACCTATGGTGAAGTTACAGTATTGTAACTTAAAGACATTTGGTTTGGAACATTAAAAAAAACTGAAAAAAGAGAGTGTTAAAATATTTAAGTGTAGTAGCATTTGTAAATATCATCTCTAAAATAAGTAGCATTAGTATCTCAGAAATGTGTAACACTGAAATTCCAGTGTGGTTCTGGGAAAGGTTATACGTGCTAACAAAAAAAAGTCAAAACTGTTGTGACAATTATATTTAAAAATAAAAGCAAGAATAACTACAAGAATATTGTTATAAGAAGAACTATAGATGTGGCAAACTGAAATAGACACAGGGACACACTGTCATTCAGTGTATAYAATACAAAAAAGTCATAGTGGGGGGTTATTTATTTTGCAGTATATAATTCTGTTTGGGGTAGAGGCATTTCTGTTATTGGCCAATAAGAGCAAGTGTGCTTCTAAATGGTGTTTCTATTCAGTTATTTTTATTCCAGCTTTGCTGGGACATGCAAGTCATGCTCAGAAAGCCCTTGCGGCGCAGAGTAATAGACCAAACCCAGGAGCTCTGATTCAGGAAACYTGTAATTTGAGAGAAGCATATGGGTGAATTCATAGGGCAAAGACCATCYGGTTGGCATGATAAGCAGAGATCTTACAGCCTGCTCCTTTTAATAAGAGTTTTGATAGGACATCGTGGGGAGAAAAAGAGCTTGCAATGCAGCTGGACCTTATTTTGGTGGTTGGTTGTGCAGAGCTTCCCCCAGCTAACAGGGGAAGCTGTCTGAATTTTGCATTTTCTAGTGGGCCATGTTGGAATAATAAAGAGCTCATGTACAATGCTAAATGGATTCTGTGTTACAGATTTTTAAGCTTTTTGAAATATGGGCATTTTGAAAATGGGGACAGAAAAGTCCTTACTTTTCTCATTGGGGAAACTTAGAAAAAGAAAAATCCAAATTACTTACACAGTAGCAATGAGCCTTTCTCCTGCTCAGATTTTGGGGAACTTGTCAATCAGAGGTCTGTGAAAAGAATGGTTCCTGATTGAAATATGCATATACTAAATTTTGTAGGTATTTCAAGCTCATAGAAATACAGATAGATGCACTCCTTGCTTACATTGGCCTGAGAAATGTAATGAGATCAGAAGGGGGAAAAAAGAGGATTCCATGCTGCAGCTAGGATTCCCCTCTCTTGTAATTTTTTTGTTGTTGTTCTWTTTAAGGGTGTGACCTTTAAATYAWATGAAGMAAACCWTGKTTTTGTGTGTAAARAGAAGAAARAAGAAAAAGMTTCAGTGGTACTAAGTAAGTTAACTTGTTTTTATGTGTCTATTTTCCTTAGACCTCAGTACKGAAGAGAAGTTAAGACGCTTACAGGAAGAGAAGCTCTGTAAAATCTGTATGGCTAAAGACGTRTCAGTTGTCTTCATTCCCTGTGGTCACCTCGTTGCCTGTAAGGAATGTGCTCAATTACTTAATGAATGCCCTCTGTGTCGTACAGATATTGCGAAAAGACAGGAAATTTTTATGTATTAGGAAATATACAGCACTGTGGATTCAAATATTTCCTGGTTTATTACTTTAAAAATGTGTAATGTAATATAAAAAAKGCATTTAATTTCAGGATGTAACCAGATGGCAGGATTTAGATTTTTCTGCTGTCAAACKCTACACATTTTAACACTTTACAAATTATTTTCCTTAAGTGTATTTTTTGTATGTAAAAAGCAATATGTATGAAATGCAAATATRTATCTTTTCTAACTTCAATTCATAGACCAGATATGGGAAAGCCCAAGTAAGGCAAGCCTGTATTTATATGATCATTCCTTCACTTCGGTAGGATTTTGTATGAACTGAAATATGTGCAAATAGTTGTACAAAGAGCCTATCCCTATATAAAATTTGAAGAATATAAGTTAAATTAAAATCTRATTGTATACATGTRTATTATAGCTGAGATTGTAGCTTAAAAATATTATGYAAGATTGAAAACAGTCTMTTTTTTCTGTAACTTTGGTTGTGACATAATTCAGAGACTACACATAAACCTGCTGCTGTAATACTTCACCTTATGTTTACTTCTGCTGCTTTGTAAATTAGTCTGTTTTAATTTAATTCCTGTCTCCCTACCTACTTTTCTGGTTCAMATGTATAAATTTGCTTCAATAAACTGGTTTTAGCCATTTCTTTTTCACTAAGATCCATCTGTATATAAAATGTATGTTAACTTTATTGATTAAAAGAGAACTCAAGAGAAATCAAGATTTTGTGTACCCTGCACCCTTTATGAGAGGAGCCTCATTTTAAATTTGCCCAAACATAAAAAGTTTTATTTCTTTTTTTTTGTTTGTTTTTAACAGAGCATTATCCTAAGTGAGTTATCTGCTAATACTTTGCCTTGCTTTTCATAGGAGAAGATTAAACTCTATTTCCTAGAAAATGCTTTTTTAAAATTCACTACCAATGTTAGAAATCTGTTCATTTTTGTTCATGTCGGTTTGCAACATTTATATTTAAAAGTTAAGAACTATTCTAATGACTGTCACCTTAAAATGCTTAAACTGTTTCTTACTGGACTGATMATTTGTGATTTTAAAAACATCACAGCTGTGTATTTAAGTACAGCTGTTTTATGGTCACTCTGCTTAATTATATCACTTCCTTATTTTTTGGAGCTACTAATATGTTCTGTGTGTATGTTTTTATTTTTGAGTTCTACACACTAAGATTTGGAACATAGAATATACAGAACATAGTTTTTCATGTTATAAAGTTTTAAATACACAGAAATGTATTATCTACCATTTCTATTTTTTTAAATCAAATGTTATGAATATTTAAAATTAAGTGCAACCCAGATGTTCTTTGATCAATGTATTCGATTCAGTATATTTTGCATGCAAAGAACAAGTCATAACAGAAGGTTGCTTTCTGTTGCTTTTTGTTTTCTAACTAAACTGTTATTAATTTAACCTGAGTGTTAAAATACATTTTAATTGGAGAGGAAATAAAGTCTATTGTTTGTATAGATGAAATTTTTTTATGATAAATCTAGATGACATTAGTTTTGCTAATATTTATTATATTGCTATTATCATATTTACCATATTTTTTTATGATTGAATTTTGTCTTGGGAGTAGATGATTCATAAAGAATTCAGCATCTATAAAGAATTCAGTTTTATTTTGCTTTTTGTGCCTTTGTGAGGAGTTTAGTGTTTCAGATAATTCATGCATAGAGGGATTTTTCAGGACAGATATGGAGTGGCAATTCTGACAGCCTTTTTCCTAGCTCCCGTTTTTCCTCRCAGGGAGGGTTTTCTGTACAAATCAAGGGAAATTGAAGGGGGGTTGTCAGCCATGAGCTGGTGTMTCTTGCCTGAAATAGCTTGTTTAGTTAAGGCTGCAAACCGTGCTGTGCTGACTTGTTTAAGCAGATGGTTGATTACCTAAGCTTGACCTGAGTCATGTGAGAGAGGCTGTTTGGATCAGCTGAATCCAACTCACAGACTGCAGAACCTGGCAGGCAGCTCAAAGTCCTGTCTGGGAAAGAGATGGACCAAATTTAACCTAAACTGCTACAAAACTAAATCTTAGGAAGGAGGTGATTGGGGGTGTAAATGTAGTATGTAAATTGTCTGAGAAAAGCTGAGAAGTAGGTCACACAYAGAATCTTTCTGCACTGCAGTGGAGAGCAAACACAGTCCTACATTGCATAAATGCTTTGTGGTAGAGCTTGTTAACTTTTAAAAGGTATACTTTTATATTTTTATATACATATCCCTTACTGCAACTTTTTCATTAATATTATAAATGATACRGCCATATAGCAATTCAAATTGTAATCACTTCGGAACATTAAAGGGTTAAAAGCCTGTTAGTGGGATGAGAAAATAACTGCTCTGTAGGTTTAGGTTTAAAAAAAAACAACCTATAATCAGAGTTCTATTCAGCCTAAATGTGAAAAAATAATTAGCATAGTCATCAAATTCTGACAGCTTGAATTAGGAAGATTTTTTTTCAAATTACTTTGATTTTCAGGATCTTAAAGAAACAGAGAAGAAATTCCGTGGCATCTGATACTGAGCTGAGTGTTTAAAGAGATAGAAATGAAAGATGCAAATAAATGGAATGGAAGCTTTCAAAGGAGGTTAGCATTTGTTTTTTGTAAAAGAGTTACCTAGGAGCTGAGCAATATATTCAAGTWTCAGTATTCAGTAACTTTCTTCTAGTGTCTTCTGTGTAAAATCTTTCTTCCATGTTATTTGTAGCAGCAGATTTGCAGTACTTGCTACTCAGATATGTGAGAGATTTGCAAGGGTTTTCAGTGACCTCCTGGAAGTGTGTTACTTAGAAAGCATGGGAAGTGCATGGCTCATTTAGAAACAGAAGGCTAAAATAAGGAAAACCCAGAGATATTTTTGTTAAGAGTGGAGCTTTTCCTCACTGCCTTGAAACACGGGGCATGAAACACAACACCGGCTTACTCAGCTGATTGCAGCAGCTTCTGCCTCTACAGCTATGGAGCTGTCTGGACTTCTTCTAAATTTGTTTTGAGGCTTGATCTAAAGTTCATAGTACAGTAAAAACATCTTAAATTATTACAGCTTGGGTTTTGTTTGTTTTAATTAGAGTATTTAAATACTCTTTGACCAGTTCTTCAGTGGGTTTTTTCTTAGCTGTATGTGCAGTCTGAAGCTACATGACAAATAGTTTTTCAGAATTTTCAAAGTRTTGTTGTTAATCTAAGACATGAGTTTTAAAGTTACCTTTTCTATTTGTTTYTATTGAAAACAGAAATTTAAATATAATGTATAGTTGGAATTGAATTATAACTGGGTGGGAGGTTAACACAGGCCCTTGAATATGGGGTGTTCATGTGAAACCAAGCTGAAGTGTTGTACTSTAGGATGGAGCATTACCAGGGTCAGTGACCTTTGCTGCTGTGGTATTCAGGAACTACTTGGAAGAGAATCTGCTCTGCTTTGCAAGGTGTGCAGGTTCAAGCATCTCATGTGTGACGGTCAGCTCTTCAAAGAGCAAAGGAGGAGCTGGATAATTTCCTGGCGTTTGCAGTGTTTTTCTGCAGTGGTGAGGATGTGAACAGTGAGTTGTTACACRGTGTTCTTTGTTATCCTTTGCTTTGTGCATAACTGACTCCTGTCAGATGCCAAAGAGAGGACTAGGAAAGCACTTCCAGTGCTGCCCCCAAGGCTTCTCTGTGCTGATCTTGTGCAGAGAATCTGAATGTGTGCTGATCTTGTGCATGAGTCTTGAATCTGGCTCATGAAGGATGCTGATCTCCTTCCTGACAGGGTCAGACGGGAAGAGCCAGTCTACCAACATCTTAATTCCTCACAGAACTGAAGTATGAGTGGATACTCTCCCTCTGACCATTTTTTGTGTGGTTTGCATGCATAAAGTTTTACTGAGTAGCTTGAAAACTTGATAAAGAAAATCSTTCCACCCCCAGGCCCCTGCTATGTCTTTGCACTGATTCACGTTGTTGTTAGTGGCTTCTCATCTTTGCATATATCACTGTGTCATGTCACTTCAAGAGCTCTATCAATGCTGCTGTACAGCAATTAGTGTGCTGTAATTATAGTGAGGCTTTCTGTGAGAAGGCAAATGGCCTGTGATGATAAACAACCTGTGGTGAAATTCAGATTTTATTTCTATTTTTTTGTTAACCAGKAATTCCTATTAAGCAGTACTGACAACATTACAGTAAAACTACAAGTGTTAGCTCAGAGAACATGCTCTGTGACTAACTTATAAAAAAGCTTGATTTTTCTAGCACAGGAAAGAAGATGGTATGTCTTCAGTTATGAATGATTTGGATAAACAAAACCCCAAGAAACAATCTGGGACAAAATGGTATTAATTTTATTGTGACTATATAATATTTWAAGCTGGTTGAAAACTACTTGGTCGCTTTTAGATAATTATTAATTTACAGTTTTATAGCCTGGGTAGCTATTGATGTTGACTGAGATAAATTGCTTGATAAGTAATAATTGCGGGAAATGTATTGGAGAAATACTGGAATTAAGGTTTTGCTTTCGCATCGAAAAATAGTGCTTACTATCAAAAATTAAAAAACACATTTGGAGAGTCCCACTGTGAAACCATCTAAAAGAATCATTACAATAATTGCTGAAAAGCCAGGTTTAGCATAAGTGCATAAGGTCACCTTCACATTTTGGACAGTGAATTAATACAACCTTCAGAGATTACCAAGACAGTTTTTAAATTTATTCATGTTAGGTGTTTTTGATTTTATGTAGTTAGATCTTGCTGTAAAACTCTTGACACAATTTCTCTTATGTAACTTAATTTTGCAGTGTATGATGAGAATCGTCACTTAAGCCAAATAGTTAATCTTCTGAATACAAGCTTTTCAAAGGTGGGTGTGAAGCCACAGGCATCTCTTAGTTTTAACTCTTGTGTTACACAAAGAAGCTTCTGAATCCAGGACTGACTTTACCTCCCTGTCCTGTGTAACTAACCCATGTGATGTTACTGGAGTCAGTGTGGGAGCTCTGTCCACCTGGTACAAGCCACCAGAAAAGTGATCATTGTTTCAAATGGGTATTTTGCAAAATAGATGTACCAGAAAGAACAATTTGACATATCACAATTTAGGACTTCSAAATTTTATCAACAGTTGTTTTCTTAAAGGCTTAATTGGCAATTGCAAGTTTATTTTAGGAAGATCCACGTTCTGTGTTGGAAGCTTCACCTCTGCTGGATTCACAGCTGGAACCAGAGGTACAGGGAATGGAGAAATGGGGACTCCCTGGTAGGTGGGAGTGGGAATTGCTGTCCTTGATGTTTATGGTGAGTGTCCCAGGTGTGCCCTTTGCCACCAAGGGGGAACCACATTGTTCACAGCTGCTGGCACTGAGGCTTTGCAGGACTGCAGCTATCACACTAAAGGAAGTTAGTGTCTAAAAAAAGTATTTTTATCTTAACCGTTTTGAACACCTGTGCAACCCAYCAACATGTCATAAACTGTTGTATTCCTTGCTACTTGTTATGCATTGTGCCACTTACAAAAACCTTTAATCACAGCTAATGACACGATCACACTTTGCTTTGCTTCCACCACCCGCTGTGTCAGAGTTGAGGCAGCAGACACAACTTGCAGTAGGGGSSTGACTTGTGARAAATAAAGCCTGAAAGAAATCTTGRAATTGG